CCGGAATATCATACCTGCATTGCTATAGTTGAAAACAAATATTATGTGACACCAGATATTCTTACCTCATTCCCAAGAAAATGTCCCAGGGAGCTACCATGACAACGTGCAACAATAAAAAGCCAGTTCATAATTACGAACTGCGCATGTGCGAATGAACTTTTGAAAAAGTTATTTGTCAGTTTGTACATAAAACAAATTGATTTACTTATAGCTTGTGCGTGCGCGAATGGGCTGCTGTTGATACGGATGATCGTTTACAAAAATTGGAAAGATTGGGAAGATACCAAAGATGAAATAGGAAAAACCAAGAACAGAATGAACATTAACCTACAATCCCGAACAGTCATTTAAAAGTAATACTGACTAGTGTCCAAAACAAATTACAATGCTTTTCTATAAATTGTCCAAAAAGGAAATTAGTAAACTTTCCAGGGCAGCGTACATGCAGTAATTACGAACTGGCATATTTGCAAGAGGTTTTGACATCATCTACATGCTGACAAGGTTTTGATGAGAACCATCATACCTGTAGAAGTAGTTATACAGTATGCTGTGGCATACAATTGCTGATGCTACATGGGTAATTCCAGATAGTAAGGGTCCATGTTTTCGTGTCCAGGACACATTTCCTAATTTCCAATAGTGATGAATTTTACCTACCAAACAAATAGTTTGAAATCAGTTCCGGTGATATTTCCGTGTCAAATAACAAAGGTCAGATGAAACAGGGACGCAAAAATGTCACAGTTTTGGATCCCTTATTTCTGTAATTACCCACGTACAAGCGAGCAGACGCTATAAAGAGACACTCTTCAGATTCAGGTGCAGAGGGCAGAAAAGGTGCTTTATTTAGTCTAGCACTTGATACGATTTGAAGCTTAGACTAAGGAGAAGGCATGCGGTGACACCATGTTGATAGATCTCAATAGAAGAGGTGTGGTTCTGATTAGAGCACACTGACTAAAGCACACTGGTCAACATGTCGAGTACACACTCACAGGTTCTTATCAGAACTACACCACTTCTAAACGAGATCTGACCACATGGTGTCCCCACAAGCCCTAGAACTTGTCAACCGCAGCTGAAATATCTGCAGGGTTGTCTTTCAGTACAACATTTTTGCAACACAACTGTGGGGACTGTGAAGGTTAACGGAGACAATTCCACTTTACCTTGACGGCATAACGGTCCGGTGAAGCATTCCGAACATTGGCATGTGTATGCTGTGCAGGAGTTGGGCACACGTTGGCACTGTCCCCCATTCTGACATGGGTTATTGGCACAAGGGTTAACCTCTGTCAAGTCCAACACGCGACAAATGGGGTTAAGTTTTGAATAGTGAGTAGTATCTAAAACTTTAGCAATATACTTCAAAGTTGTAATTACAACTGAAGACTGTTCCAGACAACTGGCCACAACCCCTTGGGTACTTGTTTAAATGTATACTCACGTAATATCAATAATTGCAACTTTAAAGCTTAAGATTTCAGCAAGTACAAATCTGGATTTCTATTAGAGTTACCAAGTTGACAGTTGGATCCTTGGAAGCACGGCGGGCAGGAGCAGGTGTGTAGGTAACAACTGCCAGCCTGTCGGTTGCAAACTCCACCATTCTGGCAGGGATTAGATGCACAGGGATTGACCTCTGCAGGAATATGGGCCCAAAACAAATTGACTTATAATGCTGAAATTCACCAATGTAGGGACAATTTGGAACTAGAATTAGTCCACATCATGGGAGGGTGGGTTCTCATGTACTACAAGCCTACTAGACCTACCTGTCTGGCACCGGTCTCCCTCGTAACAGCCAGTGCACTGGCACACATAGTCAGTGCACACACTCTGACTGCGCAGACACTGGCCTGAGTTCATACAGGGGTTGGGATCGCAGGAGTTGATTTCTGAAAAGCAGAATCCCAAAACATTAATAATTTGCACTTGTAATGAATGCTTACTGCACGTGAGTAAGTGACCAATCAAAAGGCAGGGATCGATTCAGTAGTGATTTGAAACAAAAAACGGACGTTTCACATTCAGTCAGTGCATTAGTCTGTATATTTCAGAGTGAGAATGAACCTACCTTGCTCGCAACGAGAGCCTTGCCAGCATCCTTGGCATTGGCAGGTATAAGCCGAGCAGTCCGTAGCATTGGGGATACATATAGCACTGTTCTGGCAGGGCCGAGCAAAGCAGGGATTGAGAACTGGAAGAAGAGACAAGAAGTAAGTGTTTTTTATGACAACACATGAGGCACGCGGCATCCGTCTAAATACACTGACAAAACAGTTTAATGTTTAAAAGAAAACAGCTTTAAAAGGAAATAAAAAAGCAATTATGGCAGAGACAATTATTAGATCATAATATTTTGAGACTTCGGCACGGTTTTGTGCAAGTTTAAGGAAACCTAATTTCCTTCTAAGATCTTTTTGTTGCAATATTTTCGAAGATTCCAAAATGTATCAGGTTCTTTCATATTGACTTGTACTGACTCCAGTTTAGGAGCTACAGAACTCCGTTTGCAAGGTGGGACTTTTGTGATGAAGAGAAATAAAGCTTTATAACCAATAACAAAAGAACAAATGCAAATTCTACAACTAAACCATCACTTCCAGTTACTATTAAAGCTTCCTGCAGACATATTTTTGAATTCTGGATCAAGTATGAAAATTAACAGTGGGGAAAAATATTTCTTAAACATCACAGTGGTCTCCTTCAGCCTGGTTCTGGGGGTTTAGTTGGTCACATTCGTTCAGTAATTGACTTGAAGCAGTAGTGAGAGAAACTGACACAAAGTGGGATGACTCACTTGTTTCACAGTTGTTACCCGATACACAGTTGGGGCACTGACAGGTGTACGAGGTGCAGTCCGTGGACTGAACACAAGTGCCTCCGTTCACGCAGGGGTTGCCTGCGCAAGCGTTTAATCCTGTGGGGAGAGATGACCAGCAGTTAATCGTTGGAGCAATGGGAATGGGAAAGCAGTAGGAATGCCAGTCAAGGTTTAGTCCAGAGCCTGAGAAATGAGGCCAGAAAAGCCTGGAAATATCTCCTTGCTTTACAAACAGCATAAGAATCAGGTTTGTGCCTAAAAACTGGCATCCCCGGAGGAGAGAATGGGCAGGTGCAAGATCAAACAAATGTTGCAAGAGATGCCACAATCACAACACCTCAAAATGACTGAAGTACAAAGTATGTGTTATTGGGCAATAGCATGGCACAGGCATTTTCACAAATTCAGAGAGGCGCACAGCAAGATTGTCCAGACAGTACTGGCATCAGTGCCTTAATTGCACTGTAAGTATGTGAGAAAAGATACCAACATATTGCCTTGGTGAGGATTCTACATCTCCAGTCCCAAGCAAATGGTTCAACATCACAAAGCATTTGTGCGACAAACACAGCAATGTTACGTGTCAAGTTTTGAAACACGCAATATAAACACACAAGATTAAAATTGTAAGCTTGTTTTTGACTGCTCATCACATTCACATTATGGAAACCCTATGAAAATGCCACCATTACTTTGCTAGTCCACAGCTCACCCTGGGTGGGATTTCAACCCGGGGACAGAAAAATACGTGCACAGGGCCGGACTACTCACTGGTCTGGCAGCTGGTGCCCACGTAGCATGTTGGACAGCTGCAGGTTGCATAGGAACAGTACTCCTGGCAAAGCCCGCCATTTTGACACTGCAGGCTGGAGCAGGCTGCCACAGCTGAAAATGTAATCAATAGGCCAGCTTCAAAAAAGGCATACTTTCTAATAGCTAAATTGAAAAAATATCACAGCGGGATGTCAATTTGAATCTCCTACATTGTGCAGTGGTGTCTTTAGTGATAACTGAACTGATTTCTCTCATTGGATGCCGTGTTTGTCTGAAAATTATAACTGCATATACAACACCAATAAGTACGCATGTTGGTCCAAATGTCTGAAAAATGGCACAGCCGGTGCATGTCACAAAAATTTCAGTCAAAAATGCTTATGCATGCAGTAACCTGTTGGAAGTGACATCATTTGAGAGAGACCTATTTGACTTTGTTGATACGTAAAAGTTTAAATAACTTTCTGTGCGCAAATTAAGCACTGATGGGTATAAAAAAATGAAGGAAATTATTGGTGTTGAAATGCAACTCCAGAAAAATGCTCACATCTGAACAGTTTTACATGCTGTCTGGTTTGCTTGCCAGCAAGAAAACGAGGTACCAGTCAGTGGAAAATGAGAGAAAACAGTATCACAGAATCATGATACCCTGTACAATGTGATCACTGAAGTCACTGCACATACGAGATAACACTGAGACTAACTCAAGACGAAGGAGCTGATCACATCAGCAGCATTCTGAAAATTTGTCCAGATCAATGCTACTCAAAAAAGTTGAAGATGCCATTTCTGTCTCTGCCAAACAGTTAATCAATTCTTCTTTCTGTTGCACCTCAAAATGTCTAAAAATAGTAACAAAGGATGTGCATAATTTGTTAGAGTCTTAAAAGGATGCCATAAATAACTTAGATCCACTTATAAAAATGAGGTCTCCCTTTGTGTCTGCAAAGACCACTGATATAAATGACCCCAACTGCTATCCTTCTATGAAAGACTTTACAAAAAGGCCAACATGCCAAAGAATACTTACGTATAGAGCAATCAGGGCCCGTCCAACACGCACTGCACTGGCAAGTATAACCGGGACACCCATTCAGACAGACACCTCCATTCAAGCATGGATTGCTTGCGCAATAGTTGACACCTAAATACAAAAACCCAAAACAGGTGGTAACTTTAATACGTAAAATGTGCACTTCTGTTGCTTTCTCAGTTTTCTCTCTTGGATCAATCTGGGGAGGTTTTAAATTATTCATTTACTGTGCTGTCCAACTATTAAACCTGTTGCTTACTTTGACTATTATTGTGACAAGTTGAAAGCGTGGAAATCAATACCCAATAAACACTGTGAAATAAAAGCCGGGCGTTTACATTACATGTTTTCAATTTTTTTGACAAACCAGAATTACACAACACCACAGTAACAGTCAAAAAGGGTCTTACGTTGCTCGCAGTAAGTTCCGGCATGACAAGGTGAGCATTGACAGTTGATGCCTGAGCAGTTTGCTTTTTGACTGCATGTCGCTCCATTCAGACAAAAGTTGGATGTCTGGCACAGGTCAACCGCTAAAAGGCAAAATTGTACAAAGTAGAGATCAACACATGCATCCTAGATTAACCCCATCAGCATGACAGCAGGTTGACTCAAGGGCAGATGGAGCTGCAGGGTCATTTTATAAATCAGGGTTGAATTTTTTTTCATGTCCCTGTCACATCTGACATATGATTCTGTAAGTTCAGAACTCATTCTGTAATTTTCAAGAGTGATGAATTAATGCAGATTACCTGCCGAACAAATAGAACTAGTTTGAAATCAATTTCAGTGATCATTTCTGTGTAAAATTACACAGGTCAGGTGTAACAGGGACACAAAAATTTATAGAATGGCACTACATGTAGCATGTCAGGTGCATTCTGCTTCAATGGAATACCGGACAAAATTTTTTCCAACACTCAAGGGCATACCTAGATAAATAAATAACCCAAGTGAGGAACATTCATTCTTACGGTTTTGGCAGTTGGCCCCTTGGAAGCAAGGCGGGCAGTCACATGAATATCGGGTACAGTCACCAGGCAGTGGGGTGCATGCTCCTCCAGCAAGGCAAGGGTTGTTAAGACAGGGATTAACATCTGTGATCAAACAATGGGCACATTAGCATTTGCCGATGGATAAATGTCTACACCTTGTGTGGATATTGGTTTTATGAATAAGAAAGCTCAATGACCAAGTTATTGTTTTTTTTCTTCCGTGTACGTTGTTCAGCTGGAGTTTATGTCAAAGTGCTCCTCCCCGATTTGCTATGGATAAGCCTAACCAAAGAGCGCCTCTGAACATGTTTTTTTCAGACTTGGCGAAACCTTTTGTGAACATGGCTTCAATAGTCCACTCAAGGTTCACACAAACTGTATTACATGGACTGGTTCTGTTTGGTTGGCACAAGGTTGACAAAGTTTGCACAGAGAGGATAAATAACAGGAAATACAAAAATCCAGTTACCTCTTTAAAAACCATGCTGAGAAATATGTGTTTGTTCATGGTGCACTCGTATCATGACAAATTGTGACAATTTGTGGCCCCGCCCAAATCTTGAAAACGGGCATTTTCATGGTGCAATTTGACGTTTTGCTACAGGGACAATTCCTTTTGGCCAAATGCAAATGGATTCCTGGAGGAAAAGTTGGCTTATTTGATATATTTTTTAGAGATTACTTTCTCAGGAAACTTATTTTTCAAGAAAGGGCTCGTAACAGCTTTCCTAAAGTAAGTTTTTAAAATGTACAGAGTCTTCAAAACCAACACTGAGTTGGAAAGGCTTGTTACAACATTAAGCTCCAAACATATCAATATTGTAAGAACTCAACAACAGACACAATTTTTTGCATAAAAACTCTAACAGATTAAAAATGAGTAACTATTTACTATTCTGGCAGAGGTCACCACTGTAGCAGCCATTGCACTGGCAGGTAAACGTTTCGCAGGAGTTGGCATCAGGAACACAAAGCCCGTTATTGGAACAAGGGTTGGGTTCACACTGGTTCTTTCCTGTAAGTTGACATTTTGAGGGACAAAAGATCATTCAGAATCAACAGCAATTGGTTTTAGAAGGCAATACAGCATATTAAGAGAACTTGATTTCTTGCAAACACACAGATCTGGGACCAAGTTGGTGAAGCTCTCAAACTCAGGAATTTGCAAAGCTGAGAAAACTGCAGACAAAAATGCCATATTTAACACAGCCCTGTGACTGGTTCTCAGAAAACCATGCAAAAAGTTAAAGCTGCGTTTCATGGCTGAGAGCCCTAAGATCCTGGCTCCTGAAGCCAATTCTGTGGAGCCAGCGCATGAAAGTACTTAAAATGGTCATCGCAAAAGAAACATTTGTCTGCAAAATCATGTTACCAGCAAATTGCAATGCAATGTACATGTATTTCGGACATAACTCGTTCCCCGATTTTTGGCTAAGTCCAAAGTGACTCAGTCTGTGAATTTGAGTTCATATTTCAGGCTTCAACAAGTTTTCAAAGTTGAGGTATGGTTTGACCTAAGTGTTACCACCGTCATAATGACGGGTAAGTCAGGGATAGATTATATTTCGGGCACGGTCACTTACTTGTTTGGCAGCTTGCACCCGTGTAGCAATCTGTACATTGGCAGGTGAAAGAGGTACATGATGTGGCTACACAGTTCCCTCCATTTGCACAAGGGTTGAAACGGCAGGGGTCCAGAACTGACAAAGAAAAAGAGGACACAAGATCAATTAAAAGTTCTATTCATGGGTAACAATAATTCCGCTCAATCACTATAACAGATAGATTATAACTCGAGAATTACTTGTTGGCTAACTTCATTTCATCGGTGATGCAGAAATTCAGGTTTTACTTTCATTTTTTGATGGTAAAATAGTGTAGAAATACACGTCTTTGAAAACTCTCAAAAAAAATGTGGTAGGAAGCTTTCTGAAAACATTTCGAAAAGTCAAGATATTACTCTTTTTGCGAAAAATTAAAGTCATTACATAAAAGATTTGGTCATATTATTTACAAATATGTTATTATAAAATTCCTACTGAAGTATTTTATATAAATAAATTGGTCTATTCTTTTACACAGCTACATGCAAAACAGAAAATGTTCTTAACAGAAAGGGTAGATTTCTACTAAGATTCATGTAAAATCAACAATCACTGGGCAGCACTACTGTTTTTTTCCAAAGAACGACACTATGTTTTAGCTGACAATATCACAGGACTTACGTTGTTCACAGAGACTGCCCACATAGCAGCCAGGGCAGGCACAGGTGTACTCAGTACAAGAACCAGGCTGTAAGTTACAGGTGCCACCATTTTGGCATGGAGTGCTCAAGCAAGGATCAATTGCTGTAAACAGATGTGAAACACACGGCAAGATCAAAACAAATTTCTACCATTCAGACATATTGGATGGCTTCCTCAAATATGTGATCACACTGAACAGGTGAGCTTTTGCCCGACAGTTTACACAGAAAAACAAACCATGATGTACAGCTCGTGAAACAAACCCAAGCTGAGAATGAACTTACGTGTTTCACAGAAGGTTCCTGCGTAACATCCCCTGCAGGAGCAGGTGTAATCCACACAGTTGCCCACCTCATTGGAGCTCACACACTGGGCATTGTTCTGGCACATGGACTGCTCACAGGCGTTGATGGCTGTAATATAAATATCCAATGACGCCAGCGATTATGCCTCCATTCACGAACAAACAGATCATACTTACAGTATTTGGTCTACAGCACTTCAATGTCAAATTATGAAGGTCAAAGGCAATTCATTGAGCAGTCAAAACAACATGTAAAACCACTTGTCCACAAAGTTAACAAATGAAAGAACCCTAATATTTAGGTGTATACAATACTGTATATTTTTTTTTGTTTATCTTATTACATTCAGCCAACAAAACTGCAGCCCACATTATGAGCCCCCAGAGGAAGAAAAATATAAGAACAATTTCATTTCAAAAATAACCTGAATTACATTATGACCAATATTCTTGATGAGGGCCTCTACCCCAGTAAAAATGTAGGGCTTTTAGGACGAAAGCCTAAATAAGAGTGACAGTAGGGTACAATGTCAATAGGACAAGTAGCTGTTAATGTGTGGCCTTTAAAGCAGCACATACTGATGCAGAGGCTGGGCAAACAACTTACTTTCTTCACATCTGCTGCCTCGGAAACAGCTTGGGCAGCTGCACTCAAACTGTGTGCATGAGGTACCGCCAAATCGTGAGCACGTACCGCCATTCAGGCAGGGCTGAGCTAGACAAGGATCTTGCACTGAATGGACGAGAAGTGACAAAGTACAAAACGGAGTGGTCATTGACAAGTTTCATGACTGAAACATGACCAGATCCTGGAAAATGAGTTTGAGGGGTCACATATTTTCCTTTGAAGTTTTGCACTTGAAAGATAACCACAAAGCTCTGTTTCAGTGAATCCTTTTATTATATGGGTAGAAATGTTTCAAAGGTTTCTGTCTATTTATACTACATAAGATTCTTTAAAGGCCTTTCACTCAAAAGTGGCATCAGCGACTTGTGACTCATTTCGCTAGGTTGGGTCACAAATGACTCCTTGCTCCACAGATTTTCATGAGGCTTGAGGGAAATTTTGCATTCCATACTAACAGGCAGTTTAAAAAAGGAAGCATTACAGCATCTGCTACAATAAAGTCAGTAGGCTTAGAGTAGGCTTATTTCTAGTTAGAATCCATGAATGCATTAAGAAATTGCACAAAATGACAATAATACCTCCACAGTGATGTCCTTCACACTTTACATGTACATCAAATCGTCAACAATCCTTTCCAGTGTGCAGTCTTTGATGCAAGGCCATGACTGAAAAGAGCTTTTTGTGGCTATGGCCTTATTTTTTTGGCCATTAGCATCTCACAAAAAATGGCCATTGCAACTGACAACAATGCCTCTTTCAGGCATAGCTTGATACAAAGATGACACCTTGAAAAGGTCCAGGGGAATCCAGGCAACTAATCTGTATCCTACACAAAAGGCACGTCTGTTGCAGGTTCAACCTTCAAAAGAAAGTGCTGTACCCATTTCAGACTTGTTTCAAATTAACAAGGTTGTATTATGTGTCACTTGACAAAGAACAGAGCTGGAAATCTGCGGCCAGCCAAGCTCCCTCAAAAAATGTTTATCAAAGCAGGTATAATGCAAAGGACAAAACCTTCATATAAATTGTTAACTTACAGAATTCACATAATGCTCCGATGTAGCAACCAGCACACTGACATTGTAACGCTGTGCAGGAATTGGGCTCAGGAACGCATGTCCCTCCATTCTGACAAGGGTTATTGGCACACTGGTCAACACCTGACATACAAAAAAAAAAAAAGCTCACAAAGTGGTAATGGGAATTTAAAGGCACTCTTGCCTGTCATCCAACATGTGGGAGAAATATCACCAGCAAACATCAAGGATTCTGGAATTCTGGTTGATGTAAAAGTCTTCTTTATCTAATCAGCTCACCCTGCTCTCTAGATCGTTACAACCGATGTACAATAATTGATTGGTCAACTTTTCTGCTGCACAGGCGACTATTTGCACTGATTAGTGATAAAGTTGGAAAGAAATGGCCAGGATCTACCAACAGTAGATCAGAGTTCATCATCGATTGTGAAACCAAAGAGAAAAGAAAAAAAAGTGAGTTTTAATGCATTTTACAAGACAGTAAGAGGCTGATGCATGGAATACATGCTGAAGAAAATTAAGAAGTGACAATAATCAAAACAAAAGAAATCAGTTGGGGTTACTTTTGGATTGTACACAAAGACCCATTTCCAAGGAGTCAAGTACTCATTTTGACAAAATGTGCAGAGTGAATCTTATCAGTGTTTATTCCATACTTACGAGTCTCGCAGTTTTGTCCAACATAGCACGAGGGGCACTGGCAGATGTAGTCAACACACACTGAGCCAACTGGTTGGCATACGCCTTGATTTTGGCATGGGTTGGGTGCACACTGGTCTAGCCCTGGAAAATGGGAATTTATTTAAAGATATTAAGCTTATAAAGGATTACACTGACTTTCAGTTCAGAAAATTATGACCTGCAATTTTAAAAGGTCAAAACACTCAAAAATGCTTCACATTCAAAATGATCAATTTTTTTTTCAATATATATCATTTTGTGGAAATTAATTTCATTGAAAACGCATGAAATAAGATATTAACATTACCAAAAGGGATCTTTTGACTCGTTTTACATTTAATGCTTAGTGCATGCAGCATGCAAAAATTAGGTCACCTTCACTAGAGCTGAAAGAATATTCTAAAATTTCAACAGAAAAAAATTGGTTAAACCGGATCTTCAAACTGATTTCAACAGCAAAAGATTGGGGCTTTCCTAACAGAGACAATTAGACTGAGATAACAGCATTGAAATTTATACTAGTTTTGCTCGCGAGGAACTTGTCAGAAGACATGAGAAAAAAGCTGTGTATGCCATGTGAAACACAGCACCCAAATTCACAGTGGTGTTAACAATGCTAGGAACATTGCACACCTGGAGTGGCAGCAGGGACCAATCAAGAAAATTACAGCCACTTACTGATAGAGCAGTCGTCTCCACTGAAGCAGGGCTGACATTGACACTGGTACTGGTCACAGGTGCCTGGGACCGGATTGCAGAATCCGTTGTTTTGGCAAGGATTGGGGCTGCACTGATCCAAAACTGCATCAATCAAGACGATAAAGGACTCAACAAATGAATAAAACGGTGTTACGATCCAATTATGGATATTTCTGGATGTACAAAGTATGCATATCAACCATGAGAGTGCCTACCTACAGAGTTCAACATACTATCCATACTCATCAGGCCAGTAAAGATTTCTAAGGTCATACAAATAACTTCATTCTGCCACTGTACAGTATTTTCCAAAAAAAATCAATCAACAGTTACCCAGGCACATGGCCTTCAACCTCGCAGGGTTGGCTAAAGGTATCAGGTGTTTTATGAATGAAATATGTGTATTCACTGTGTTGCAGTCGAGTCCATCACAAGTCCCTGCAAGTCGATCGTGAATCATCCAGTCTTAAGCCAAGGCATACGCCATTCTGATCAACAGTGATAGAAGCATTCTTTTTAGTTCACCCTGTTACTTATGACTGGTCTTTGCACTGGACTTGTGAAGGGACTCATGGAAGGACTTGTGATTTTTTTTACTCAACTACAACACACAGGTTTCATGCTTTTAGAGCTCATGTCGGATTATCTAGGCTACACCAGGTCGCCTACATCAAAATGGGGTAACGATGGTTGTATAAAGCATGTCTGTAGCCAAACCTACATGTTTCACAGTTTGTTCCTTCGTAGCAGTTCTGGCAGGTGCAAGTGTAATTACCGCAGGTGTTTGGCACAAGGTTGCAGGTGCCACCAGAACGGCAAGGAAAACTGTCACACGGATTTATGTCTGCAAAAGGAAAACCAAAAGCAGTATCTCAATTGAAAGTGACATCCTCCACCAGGTCAGTTGTGGTCAACAGTGAATCAACGCAGAAACAAATATGTATTCAGGATTAACTTTTATTATGGCCCATTTAGTTTCTCTGCCAAATTTGGTGTCTTGGACAAGCTGGTCATAATTCCACCTGTAAACAGCCTATCAGAGCCGCCTTGTATGGGCCTCAAGCTGGACCAAGGGCACTCTTTTCTTAGCGAAGGACGCTCCTTTGGTCGGAACTGAACTTTGCTGGTTCACAAACGACTAGGAAATGTACGCATCACAGTCACATTGCTATCAACAAATAGAACATTCCCGACCAATGCAGTTCTTTTCAACCAATGAGGGCGTGCTTCTGCTCGAGGCAGACAGAGGAAGTTAACTGGGAAACTAGTGCCACCATTGTTGGAAACAAACTCAAAGGTGTATGCGTCAGTGCAAATGGAGAGTTTGTATACAATAGCCACACGCTCTACCGTTAATGAACAGCCATTTTGTTTCCAAAATCTGAAGCTAGCGATACTCTCAATATACAAGCTCTGGATTACATCAGATTCTACACACTGTTTGGCCCGGTCTGGTCATTCTTGCTCATAAGGTCTGCCACACTGTGTGCTCTATTAAACAATTAAACGGGGTACTATGCAGCAGGTGTTATGGGGGATACAGTCTGTTCAAGGTGATCCCTTCAAAACGGCCGTATTGCACTGCTGTTACTTGAGACAATTATCTCATGTATGGGGACTAATTTGTTCTACTGTATAGCATAGTATCCTACTTACATGTTTCACAGAACTGGCCCATGTAGCATTCAGGGCAGGAGCATGTGTAATCAGCACAGATTCCTGGAGTTGACTGGCACGTGGCGCCGTTCTGACACTGGTGAGTGGCACAGGGATCTTGAACTGTGAGAAAAAAAATTAACACAAATCTGAAGTAGGGAAGTCTAAACAGGATTTCAGATTAACTGTAAAAAGAAGCACATGTATGTTTAAGTTTTATAACAGTTGTAATAATCTACTTTTCTCCACTGCAAACAAAATTTTGCTCAGCAACAAGTAGTTACAAGCCAAATTGTGATACAATATACAACAGCTTTTCTCTGGTTCTCAGTTAATCTTTGCTTTTATAGCAAACATTTTCTTTTAAATAGCTACATTTCCTGCTTCTGGAAACCATAACTTACAAATTTCACAGTTGGTTCCCCTGTAGCAGCTCGGACAGGTGCAGATGTACTGGGTGCAAGCATTAGGGGCCTGACTACAGGTTCCGTAATTCTGGCAAGGATTGCTGATACAGGGATCCACAGCTGGGAAAAAAAAAAAGAAGTACACAGCTTAGAATTGGGGCCTCTTCTGGGTAGTAAAAGTGTGAAAATACTTGATGAACTATAAAGTACAGCATTTCCCTTTGTTTATTTTGGACCAATAGCTGAAGTTGTTGGAATGCATTTAATGGACAATTTCATTTTAACCCCCCACACCAAGTCTAGCCTGAGCCCTGTCCCCACCAATAATTTTTTTTCTCCACCACCAAAACCAGGATACAGAAATATCAGTAAAAAGCATGTGGCTTTGGTTGAAAACAAACATCTGCAGTTGACGTGAACACATCCGTGAATAATGACTATGCCACCACCATGCGACCATGCCACTCACAGGTGTGAAATCTCCTTGCCCATTTATATAACTTTGTTGTGAAGTTAGCTCGAGCAAAGATGCAATAATGTAGATTCATAAAGAACGATCCAATCTGGATAAATAAGAGATGGTTATTCCTTATAGCCACAAGGCATGATTTTCTATGATTAGTTCCATTTGACTGGGGTAAACTGCAGACTTTCTTAACAGAGGTTAGAAGTGAGCAGGGTAAGAGACAAGGCAACGACGATCATAACTAATGATCTTAGCTTTGAAACCCCCAAAAATCCTTGGCACTTACGGATATTACAAGTTGGTCCAGTGAAGCACAGTGCACAGCTGCATTCATACTCTGTACAAGAACCAGCCACAGGTCGGCAGAATCCTTCATTGCTACAAGGGTTAGGCTCACACTGGTTGATAACTACAAGAATAAACCAAGCAACAAGAACGAGTTATTAAAACAGGCTTTAATTTTCTAAATACTCATTAATTTATCAATTCTTGCTTCTATTATTTTGCTGTTGTTTTAAAATTCCCTCAGAGGTAGAAAAAATGTTGGCACATGTATTAACGAGTTTACGTCGAAGGAGGTTAAGGCTTCATTCAATTCCAATGAGAATACATCACTACAGGTTTGTCCTGTCAGTTACATAGATCAGTTTATAAACAACCCTAGATTCAAAATATCAGAAAACTGTGCACTGGATGCCACACACACAAGAGAAGTTGTCAATATGGTGTATAAGTTTTAATTTTACGCTGTAAAAAATGTACTCATACAATGGCCCAGAAAGGAGTCAAAAGGAATGGGTTAGGAAGAAAAGCCTGTGACTCACATTCACTGCAGCGTGCTCCTGTCCAGCAACCACTGCAGGTACATTGGAATGATGTACATGAGGTGGCATTACAGGAGCCTCCGTTCAGACAGGGGTTACCAAGACAAGGATCCAGTACTGGAAATGAGAAAATGATTTTAAATTAATAAAAGGAAATATGCTGGTAACTGAGGCAACTCTTACGGGAAACACTTTTTGAATTCTGTGAAAAATAACTCATTCCAATCTGTTCTAACAAGAGAAATGAGGAAGTTCTGAAATGAATGTAGCCTTTATAGCTCTAAAAAAGAGTTGGCTTCGATTTTTTACATTCACGTTTAAACGTTTAATGAACATGAAAGCTATGGCTACACACGAAAATAATATTTTGGGAATTTCAACCCAAAAAAAATACGGCACAATGTCTCTTCACTAAATTGAAGGCAATTTACAATGTAGATATAAATTTTCAAGTCCACACAAAAATGGATGCAACAGAACTTCAACACTCAATTAAAATTAACAGATTTTAAAATGTAATACTAAATTGGTGAGCAAAATGTAGTCAAGCCCTCCGGGGCCCAAAACTCCTACTAGATAGCACCCTCAATGGATCAGGAATGAATGCATCACTCACAGGTAGCACATCTGGAGCCTGTATAGCAGCCATCACAGCTACAGGTGAATTGGGAACAGGAACCTTGCTGGAGCGAGCATGTCCCACCGTTCAGACAAGGATTGCCGTTGTCCACGCAAGCGTTGAGACCTGAGGAGAAGATAGGAGAAATAGTCAGAGGGGTTTTCCCGAGATACTTAGTGACTGATTTAATCCCAGTAGGCCTCAGTGCTGATGACATTATGCTTTGTTTTACATGTACACTTTGTTTATACCAGGTAGCTTTGAATCCATCATCTCAACCTGGATCTCATAAGAAAGTGCACAGGTGAACAAAGACTGGTGTCACCAGCACATGGGCCCATTCATCCAAACCTCAAACTCACTGGCATTTCTGGTGTGTGTACCTCTTCTTTCATACTAATTCTCAGACAAATTAAAAAAGGAGACTCCAGGAATATTGGCAAATAGATTTTTTTTAAATGCCTTTGTGACGCTACAGGTAAACCTTCCACAACATGGAGTAAACTTCCCTGGTCACACTGACCAGGCCATAGGTGTCAACTTTTGATTGATGTTAAACACTTGAGAATGATACAACTTTCCTTGACCAGGGAAAAGCGCTTGCTCTATCAAATCAACAAGTAAAGCAACAGAACAGCCAATATTTCCACAAATATCATCCACAAAAGAAAAAAACAATCCCCTAAAGGGCCAATGATTATCCTCAACCTACATGTACAGTGTACATAAATTGCAAATTAGATTTTGAAACAATAACAAACATAATTCTCAACTTATGATCAAAAGCTCTTACATTCGTTGCCATTTTTAGGGAGTAAAAATATCAAATCTGCCTTTGGCCAACTTACGTGTTTCACAGTTAGCACCACTGAAGCATGGTTGACATATGCACACAGCCTCAGTGCAAGATGTGCCGTCTCGCCTGGAGCACACTCCATTGTTCTGACAAGGACTTGGGTTACATGGATCCAACACTGGTGACAGAAACGTGCCAACATCAATACTTGGTCAGTTTGAGAGATTTGCTATGCAGCGTGTATCAGGTGTTTTAAACAATGTAACATTTTCTTTCCTTTGTCATACAGTTTGAATATGAAGCAGGACTCATACTAATGGATTTAGGTGTCTCATACATAAATTACAGTATTATCTGAATTGAACAACACTTGTCAAATCTTTACTGTACGCCATGTCTGTGCCATTATCAAGTCCATAATCATATTAGTCTATCCAATGACTGCAAATCTGATCACAGACGCCACTGGCGGAATAAAGACAAGTTACTAGGTGAAACTCATTGGAACAGGTTCTGAACTGATTAGGCTTGCTGACTTTTGGTGGAATTGTGAAGACTTGTGATAGATATGTGTTGGACTAGCTGGACGGGGTGTGATGGTCTCAGCCACAACCCTGGAGTCCAGTCACAACTGACAGGGTGGACAATGACGAAGGAATGCCTCAACTACAACATTGCTATAAAACACATGAAAGGTCTTATTTGCTTCTTCAATGAGTGAGCCAGTAGGGCCATGCCAGGCTACAGTTCCTGCCCAAAAACCAACAGCTAGAGCTTCTCAACTCACATGTTTCACAGTTACTCCCAGTATAACACCCCTGGCAGGTACAGTTGTGGCTAAGACAGTCCTGAGAAATACTGCACACTCCACCGGCCATGCATGGTGAACTCTGACATGGGTTAACAGCTGTAAATAAAAGCAAACACAAGATGTCATTTCCACCACCCAGATTATTCCCGTTTTATTCATAGATTTATTTAAACGGGTATTACATCATGAAAAGAAATTTAATATTGAACAAAAAACAAGATACACTACCTAAGTTAAATTGGCAGTTATAAAGAAACTAATTTCACATGATAAAACTCTGGATCCCAAATAAAAGCAACACATTTAATAAAGCATTAAATAAAAAGAAACTCAAACGTGACACATAAGCACGATGAAACAATAAAACAAATAAATTAACAGGAAGTAACAATGAAGGTCTTAATAAGGACCTAAAACTAACTTCATCCTGTAATGAACCCGCTTGTAACATACTCACCAGTTTGACAGTAACGGCCAGTGTGACAGGTGTCACACATGCAAGAAAAGTCAGTGCAAGAATTACTGTCCGGAATACAGACTCCACTCTTGAAGCAAGGGTTGGGATCGCACTGATCCACAGCTGCAATTTTAACATCATAAAAAGAGAAAATTTAGCCTTTTCCGGAGCCCCTCTCTTCATAAAGCAGGACTGAATTTCTGGTTTCTGATCAGGTACATGCATTTTGGACAATACTTTGAGTCTGGCAACAGGCAACGGCAAATTTCATGGAGATGCTCAAACATTTCTATGAGCCAGTTATTGAACAGGAAATCTTGCTCAGCAAATTTACGTGCTAAGCAAAATTTCGCAGAGCACCAGTCAGGAGCAAAATACATACCACTGGTAACCTAATTTTATCAAGCACCCAGTTTCTACGACGAGCAATTTTCTAAGCTTCACTGCTACAAACTTGGCCCCACATATATTTAGCATGGAAAAGCTTTTTTAAGTAATTGGATACCACTCCAAATGTCATGTAATATGTAATGCTATTGGTTGGTTCCAAGCTGAGCTTTGCTCAGCAAGAAAGTTGGCTGAGCAAAGTCTTCTGCACAGATGATCCTCGAGTGGTAGTAGGGTCCATCAGAAGTGTTTTTCACGAGACCCTTCATAGGTGACAGGGTAAACAAACACAAACGAATGCTTCCGTCATAGTTCGGCACATGAATAGCTTGGACCTTGGCTTATTAAGACTGGACGACTTCTTGTGAATTTGCAAGGACTTGCAGTGACTTGTCATGAACTCAACTACAACACTAGTTGCTCGATTGAAATGAGACTGGGTACTATCTTGTGAAAAGCCTATTAAGCTCAAAAGTTGGCTATAAAGCAATTCATCATGGAAAGATGGTCCATAAGGGTGGGTTGAAGTGGTCTTTTCTGTTATACTCACGGATCTGGCATCGGAGCCCCGTCCAACAACCTTGACAGGCACAGGTAAAGGCAGTGCAGGACCCGAGGACCTTGCTGCAGACACCTTGGTTCTCGCAGGGGTTGGGCAAGCACTGGTCAATGACTGTCGGGAGAGAAGAATAAGATTAAGACTGGCAACACTACCTAGCCAGGAGGGTGAGGCCAGGGAAGAATGAGCCAACTCTGTGCTTCAAAAAGGCAAGGTCATTCAAGAACAAAGCACGTGTGAAAACTGGCATATGGCCGCACTCTTGGGGCAAACCTCAAAACTTCCCCATAAAAGAAAAAAGGTTCAATTTTCAAAACTCAAAAACTGAAAAGAAAGTGCATTTCCACATCTTTAAATCATTAAGTACATGTAGCTGTCATCTCATAATGATACCCTCTCTTGAACTGTAGAGGTATTATTGTACATTAAATCTCAAATAAAGATGTTGCTAAATCAACAACTTCCATTACAATGCACAGTGTTTATGAAAGGTTACAATGTAAGCATCTGGCTAGTATAGAAACTTGCAAAGCAAGCATTTTATATTTTCAATGACTCAAGATAGAGGAAGGACTCACCATTCTCACAGTTGGTGCCATTGTAGCAGCCTACACAGGTACAAGAATACTCACTGCAGGAGGTAGGTGAGCAAAAGGCTCCATTCTGACATGGATTGGAAATGCAGGCACTCATTTCTGTAGACACAAAAAACGACATGGTTATCGTGATCCCATAACATACTGTCCTAATACAGGTGCCCACAGCACTGTGTTTGCCAAAAGACTTCAAGACAATTTTTGTCTCTCAGAAAGATTCCCGTATGACTGAAATGATGGCTGGCCTTTGGAAACTTTTCAGTTTTTGCTTTTTTTTTGAAATGCCTTTTAGAAACAACTGCACAAGCTTGCTAAGGAAAGACTTATTTGTAAGTCTTCTCACTTATCAATACAGATTATGTTCAAGCTTAACTACCATGTTTCTGATAAGCAAGTCAATTCAAGTCTACTAGGATTGCACCGTTGTTTAATGACTAAAACCCTTGTAACTCCTGCAAAATCAATTTTAGAGGATTCTGCAAGATCCCTCAAAAAAGAAAAATGTTTCAGGAGTTTTTATTAGCCAGTCACGACAAGTGTAAAAACCCCAACCCACCTGTAGCACAAGTTGGTCCTGTGAAACAGCCCTGGCAAGCACAGGTGAAGGCGTTACAATCACTGGATCCAACACGGGAACAGGCACCACCGAACTGACAAGGGAAACTACTGCACGGATCAATCACTGGAAAAGAAAGAAAAAAAAAACACAGTCAAATCCAGATCATCAATGACTTTTGATGCTTGCATTTCCACATATTAAGCCTAAAGGTGCCTTTTTAAAGATGGGTGTCGGTGGGCATCGTCACCCATATGCGTAACATAAAGAAAGTCCAAAAATAAATGTACACCAGAGAAACACAGTAAATGAATGTGCATACAGAATGGGCCAAAAATACACATTAGGAAAGGCGGCCTAACACTTCCAGATGTATATGTTTCAAAGTCTGTGGGACTTAGCACTATTGAGCAATCAACAGCAGGAGAATAAACTACCAACGCTAACACAACGGGAGCTACACATAGTCTTAAAATGCCGATGTTGGATCGTGTGGTGTCGGTTAACCTCAAGATTTAACCTCAAGGCTGTTTGGCTAATGGGGATAGTTGAGCAGTTGGGTAATGTTTCAACACTAAGGGCTATAACTTTGACAACAGTACACACATGTTGCAATAGTCAGCAGGATTTCTAGCACAAGTACCCTTAAAGACTCGGGTTGAAGAATCACCTTCCCATTATTTCATTTGAAAGCAATCCTGATGGGGTTGTTGCGTCTTCCTACAGTGTACCAACTTCCCAGCTAAAATGTGCTGCAGTTAGCACGCACAAGCACAGTTTACGCTAGGTCTTACACGCTGTGCGGTTATTTGCGCCATGCTGTAGCATGTACAAGAAACAAATAAATTGAAAATCTGTTTGAGAAAAAGCTCTCGTGGAATGAGTCAGTACAGCTCTCAAAATCAACCATTCAAAGCTTTGAATGAAACAGAACAAAATAAAGTCTGTGGCCCCTCCCCTGAAAATTAAAGAGGTATTTTTAGCACTTTTTCTGTCAAATGCCAAAAAGTTATTCAACAATGGCATGTTATAATATAGAATTACCCCAAAAAGAGTGAACACACAGAAGACCGCAATCTTATCTTGTAAGCTTGCAGTGAGAGATTTGTCCAATTTAGTTAAAAGACTAGCTAATGGTGAAAATAAGCACCAAGATACAGGAAATTCAACCTCAAATATAGGAACACCTACGTAAAGTGGGATCTCTCAAGCTCTGCCTACATGTAGTTTGAACCCATACTTACAAACTTCACAAAACTGGCCAGTGTAGCAACCGTCACAGGCACAGGTGTAATCAGAGCAAGACGTGGCAGATGGCTGACACACGGCATTGTTCTGGCACGCATGGTTATTGCAAGGGTTTTGAACTATGAAAAGAAAAACAGATCATGTACATATTAAATGTACCGATGTCTACAAGAAACACCAAACATCAGTGCAACATAAGGCCCAGGATACAGTATGTATACACTGGAATGGGACAATCTGTAGTCCTAAAACAAAACCAGTGTATAAAACTGAAAGTTTTGATCCCTTGAAATCAACTTCTGCAGGGGATCGAGACGCAAGCCATGGAATTCTACACTATTCCTCTTCACACTCACAAATTCCATGAAAGTGCTCAACGTTAGAACAGTTAGAACTTAAGTTTTTCTCCTTAACTGTGTACCACCTCCATTTTTTTGGCCATCGAAAAATTTCACACTTGAAAATGTCCTTCCAACACCAACACTTTTCATGAAGTCAGAGGGCATATTTGTGAGACTGCTGTTGCAGTTCATTTGAATACTGTGTGACTTGAATTCAGACAGGAAGTCTTGTGCGGTCTCGTGATGGTCTTTAGGGAAACTTTGCTGGACTGGCTTACGGATTTGACAGGTGGGCCCTGTGTAGCAGCCGGCACATTCACACTGGAAGATGGAGCAGGAAGACTGGACCGACGTACACCTGCCTTGGTTCTGACAGGGGTTGGAGGAGCAGGGGTCAATTCCTGACAAAGAAAGAACAATAAACACTTGAATCGAGAAATAAGGGAGACACTAATGTCCAATCAAGCAAAATACTGTAACTGGGAAGAAAAGCCCTTCCCTCAAACATTCTTGAAAAACTACCTCGAGGTTGTTTCTTCTTAATTCAATGCAAAATTAATTACTTTTAAGTGCTAATTATGAATGTTAATAAGGTTGTAACAGAATGACACTAAATACACAAAATATCATTATTCCACTAGCATGGAATTGCCAAGAGGAAACAAAAGGAGGATATTTTAATTACAGAAAAAACCCAAACCCTCTGATCTAACAATTAAAGAATTGGAAATGAAGCTGACTGACGGATACAAAGCTGTGATTTGAAAAAAAAACCTGAGGTACCGGCGGCACTTACTTGACTCGCACATGGTTCCCACAAAACATGATGGACAGCTGCACTCATACTCAGTACACGAGGTAGGGCTACAGACACCACCATTCTGACACGGATCGTTGGCACAAGGCTCCAAAACTATCCAAGTTGACACAAGTTAAAACATTAACAGTGAAAATTGTTTTTAGATGGACAATTTTCGAGGTCAAAAGTCAATTTATAAGTTAACTTTCCACAATGAAATGTTTGAACCAGTTTCTTTGACTAATTCTGCATTAAATTCAATTCAAAAATCAACAAGCCCGAGCGGCAATGGTTTTACAAATTCAAAGCTCGGATTTTAAGATTCCTCATACAACAAGCCTGTTCCAGTTTCAACAGGACCATGAAAAGAGCAACTTTAAGCAGTTTTATTTTGAAACTTAAAAAATCAAGGCCCTCTTCTCATTGAGTCAACTTATCTTTGTCTCATTGGGAGATGTTCTTTTTAATAAATGATGAAGCCAGCACATTCAAAATGCTGAATGATCGACTTCAAGACATCCTCAGTGCCATGTACCTGTGCTGCAGGTTGGTCCAGCATTGCATCCTGTACAATTACAGGTAAAGTCGTTGCAGTTGGATGGGTCCCGGGTGCATATGCCTCCAAAATTACAGGGATTGGGGTTGCAGGGATCAATGGCTGAAAGGAAAGAAGCACAAAAAGAAAAGCAATGCAGCTGCGCTTGCAAGAGCAGGATGGTTTTTGCCAATAACGACCGGTTCAGCAAAAGCAATTGAAAAGAACAGGACTAGTGTACATTATGCTTGCAAAACAGGACGGGATGCATGTAACTTCTCAAATGCCCTCAAGTGGGCTGAAATTGATTTTTAACTGACTCTGAATGTACATGTTTAGCATTGTTGTCAGGAGCTGAGAGCTGTACATGTAATTAAAGCACATTTAATCAGCAGCTTTGTTTGTTTTATAGAGCCAACAATGAGCCCAAAACCTTTACAAAGCAACAGAAACATGTTTGTTTAATGTATGTCAAAAGTGCAATTATTAATTATATCTGTACGAGTTAAAAGTATTTAGGGACACCTCGGGGCACTGTCTCTGAGGAAATTAAGCCTGATGGATATATAATCAAGACGCACTTTCACTCAACAAAAAGCATCCCTAATAATGCTGAAGTCAACTGGTTTTAAGAATGACACTGCAACAACTATGATGTGGCCAAACAAGGAGACACTTTAAAGAAAATACATTGTTCTCGGTAACCGCCAATTGGGGGTGCCTTTCACCGTGTGATCTGAGGCCGCTGTGTTGATATGGTAATAAACCCTTGGCGAAAGACCAACTTCTTGGCATCTCTTTAATTGGAGGAGAGGGTACTTGCTAAGGAGTAACTCCAGACCTCCTAACCAATTGGGGTGTAGGTCATGAATCTCAGACACCATGGTACTGCAAGTTGGGCAGGAAACCTTCACTTTGGTTTAGCTGACGATCAAGTCAACATTATTTTCATCTCACCAACCACCCCAGCATTTCCACTGTATAAATACTGGTCTGGCACCCCATCTCCTGGGGAGGAGGGCCTAGCACTCCAACCGTACATGTGCACGTACAAACGGTGGAAAAATAGCTATATTCACGAAGCACAGAACAGGGCACAGCTGCATGTATATATTCCTTATAATAAGTAGAGTGGGACAAGCGGCCCCCAGTGCTTATATGGCAAGCGTGCCGAATTTTGGGGGGCAATTAGCGTGCCAAATTGTCTGTGAATCGGGTGGCAAGCAGGCTGATCTGGTTTGGGGCCAAGCGTACCCACCAAATGTTTGTGATTTGTGTAGCAAGTGTGCCAAGGTATGGGGGCAAGCATGTCCACAAGGTTTGTGAAGTGTGTGGCAAGCATGCCAAGTTGTCCGGGGGAAACCGTGCTCAATGTCACTGACTTGTGTGGCAAGTGTGCCACATTGGTTGGGGCCAGGCCTGCCCAAATCATCCTGTTCAATATAACATGTTGACTTGACAAACTGCTTTGTTCAGTGGGCTAACGGCCCAATGATTGGGTTGTTTGATATTGATTAAAAGCAGTGTTAAGCTGTTCCAGAAATCAGAACATAGTCCAATGTCGCTTTTGTGAGGTGTCAGAGAATAAATGCATAGTGTCTGTTTAATCCTTCCACCATAACACCTTTTCTGATGGTACTAATTTTGAGAACAAGTTAAGGACACATTTTCAATGACTGCCAGTTTATTGCCAAAGCCAGGTATTGGACTTTGAAGGATGTGACATGATTAGCAATAAGAGTCTATGTAACTCACGTGTCTGGCAGAAAGCTCCATCAAAGCAGCCCAGTTGGCAATCGCAAGTGGCCAGATCACAGCTTCCGTTGAGTGGCCGACACACTCCATTGTTCAGACAGGGACTTGGGGAGCAAGGATCCCTCACTGTGAGAGCACAAAGGCGACAGGCAAAGGAGAGAGAATTACTCACTGTAACGATATGCCGACAGCAGAACCGCTATACTGCAGAGCCAGAGTACATGTTGTAGCAAACATGCTCGAGATGGCTTATTTACACCTCACGCCAATGCGAAGCAGGTGTCACTCTGAATCATTTCTCTGAAAGTTCCTGGAGTTTATAGGCTGGTGCAAGTTTTGCATATCCTTGATCTTACTCTGCAGATTTCATTTGTATCTGCCCAAGGTATGAACCGGGGTCATATGAAATTATGGCACCTATGAATGCTGGGTCTCTTGAAACATATAGAATCCCCTCATACATAGTTATCTTTGTTTTAATTTTGTGCTTTTGCCAGATTTTACACACCACAGATCTTAAGGTGAGCACATAGGTGCCTGCGTTATAATTTTTTTCTGTGAACACAATTTACCAGAAGAACCCAGCAGGCTGATTAATTATTGTGAAGCGCGAATCTCACCCAAGTGCTTCAAGAATTTCACAATGCTAAATGTATGTTGGGCATGACAAGGTGATGCTCATCCTTTAGACTTACAAACTAATTTGAAAGGTGTGCATTTGTTAACTCAAAACATCCCATTGGCCAAAGAGGCACATAAAGAGCCATTTAAATCTTGTCCACAGGCGAAGTACCAACCAAGGATGGTTTCTTGCTCTGCTTGCTGAATGACACTATGCAAGTTATGCTTGTTAATTAAAACTAATTTCAGGTTGCCAAAAAAACAGAAAAAATGGACGAAACTTAAACAGACGGTTTTTAAATATGGAAAAATGCACCAGTGCCTATGGAAACCCCCCCAAAAGTTCCTTGATTTGGCATGGAAATGAATAACAAATATAATTTCAGCAGTGCTCTGTACAGACTGATGGAGGAAGTTCAAGATGAGGGTATGAGTGGGCTTGGGGTTGAGTGACGGGGACTTGCAGACAAGGAGATGTTGATGACTTACACTGTTGACAATTCACTCCTGTGTAGCAACCACTACAGCTGCAGCTATAGTCTGAACATGACAGCATCGTACAGGTGCCTCCATTCAGACAGGGATCAGCACTGCATGGATCTTGCACTGACGCAAAACAGGTTACATAATATAATAAATGAACATTTGTATTGCACGGTCTTTATGACAATGACTGTATGCGCATTAAAATATTATTAAAATTACTTACAAAAAGAAGACTAAGACCACTTACAATAAACTACTTTAAGAATATCAAATATGAAAATTTTAAGACAGTCACGACAGGTGCACTGGCACGAAAATCTTTATACTCCCTTGAAGTATGACAAAACCCTAGGAAGAGCTCAGTGGGCCAACACAATTCTCAAATGTTATGGACCCAACAAGGCTTCAAAGAAACGCACCAGGGGATGAGAAGGGCATTTTTAGTGAAGCGGAGGAACTCGGTAGCTGGGGGAAATGGCTAGATAAAATAGGTTGGAACATTGCGATGGTCTGAAATGGAATTCTTTCCAAACAGTTTTACTAAGAAAGCAAGATTAAGGACTATTAAAGGTAAAACAAAAATTTTAAAGACTTTGTGTACAGTCTTAATAGCAGTTTTAGATGTAATATTTGAGTAATTTATCTGGACAGGTCTGAAATTTCCATGGAGCTGCTGAAAAAAAAACTTTACTCCTAGAGTGTATTGTACATCAGCAATGCCCCCCCCAGCTTCTTAGATGAAGTTGAGATTGTGAATGGCTCTTTTTTATAGCTGAAAACTTTGTTGAGCAATACGACCTTGCTTATAAAACAGAAATTGGACCCTGAGCATGAGAGAGTCGACTTACAGGTGTCGCATGTGCTTCCGGTGTAACAGTTCACACAAGTACAGGTGAACTGGTCACATGATAAGCCAACCGGTGAACAAAGGCCATTGTTCTGGCAAGGGTTGGGAGAACACTGGTTGATTCCTGGAGAGAACATAACACAACGGATACAATATCATTTCACACTCACAAGCCAACTATGAGAACAATTGTTACCAAAAAAACATTCAACATTGCCAAAAGGGTACACTTAAGAGTGTTTACTAGAACAGTTTGGATATACGGGTGTGATCCCTAGATTCTCGAAATTCATCATGCTTTGATAATTCACATGCAAATGCATGTGCATTTAAAAGGCAATATCATGAGAAAGCAGTATCATTTTGCATGATGCAATGAATATCTGTGAAAAGAAATAGGAACTTCTATTGTCAAGTTAAGGGAGCGTCTCAAAAATCGCCAATATTTCCATTCCATTGGACTGTTCCCACTGGAATGCTGGCATTCCATTGGATGCGGGCACGTTTCAGACTGATCCAGGCAGCGTTACGACAGACTGTTCTCACAAAGGAACACAGCCTTCCATGTGGAACGTCGTGTTTCCCAAGGATCGGCTGACCATTCCAGAATGAAAACACGGCATTCCGATGCGTCTCATTATTCTGACCGTTCAGAATTATGAGACGCTCCCTAAATAACATCAAAGCATGTCTCACTAGTGAAACTGGTGCTTTTATTCAGTTATCAGGACATGCTGAAAAACTTGAATCAACTTACGAGTCTCGCAGTTATATCCCGTGAAACACATGGGGCAGGTGCACGTGTAGTTGCTACAGTCGTTGGGATCGATGAGACAGACTCCACCATTTTGGCAAGGGTTGAACTGACACTGGTCAATAGCTAAACGAAACAAATATCACTCACCAAATAGCTTTATACGAGGAAAACCATTCAAGCAAGGCCCCAAAAACTACAATTGCCCAGTGTTGTAGTCGATTACCAAATTCACTACCATATATTAAACTTAAAGCTGGACAGCAAAGGACTGTTGAAATAAAACCATGAAGGTAAGACTGTAAACCAAATTTAAGACTTCAGAGTCTAAATCTAAGACTTCAGAGTCTAAATTTAAGACTTCAGAGTCTCCCAGTTTGGTGAAGATAAAGTTTTCAGGAGAAAAGTACTCCACGCATAGTTGGCCACGTTATACACTTGTCATAAACCTCAATTTTCATTTTATATTGTAATATTACCTTGTTAGGTAGTTAGGAGGAGAGGCTAGATAACGTTGGACTGTTATTGAATGCACAAAGATAAGACTGAAAACAGTCTAAGACTTCAGACACTCCACTTTGGTAAAAATTAACTTTGAAGAAGAAAAGTACTTAAAAATAATCAGCAAAGTTCTTTTTGAGTGCAGTGCATGTTTGGAATTATCATTCTATTTTATTAGATTACCTTGGTGCAACTTTTACTGCCCATGTTTGGCCAGCTTTGCTCCCTTCTAACAAGTTTAAAATTTGGCAGGGAACTTGACACTCAGAAAAGTACTCCAGGTAGCGAGCCAACGCTCAATTCAGCAACTGCCCCAGACATAGGGGCACACTGAGCAAAACCTCAAGTTAATTTTGAATTCAAGGGATCAATACTGCACCACAAATGTGACCAACCATTCCAAAACCTGACAGAAGAGTTTAAAACGATTATCAATTTCGATTATCTGAAAATGATATCAGTGAAAGCACAAACAATGTGAATTCCATTGCTTTCCAAGCAATGCTTTCCTAAGCTGTTAAATGCTTACGTACATGTAGGAATACTTTAGAGTGTGAAGACTAAGTATAGGGGAGAAATTATCAAACATCAAGATTACCTACTTCAGCCTGGTTTAGGGGCATTTGGTCACAAGTAGTAAAGATGCCAACAATGCTTGGAGGAAAGACAAGGTTTGCGTCTGGTTTCAATGAAGGCAAGGAGCCCATGCATAAAAAGTCAAGGTTGGCTGAGCTACTACTTACGGAAGGAGCATGTGTTGCCCTCGTAGCACATCGGGCAAGTGCAGGAGAACCCTAAGCAGAAGTTGGGATCCTGGACACATGTACCTCCATTCTCACAGGGAGCAGAATTGCATGGGTTCTTGGCTGTGAGGAATCAAGAGGCACACAAAAACCGTAGAACTTCACTTCCCTGGTAAAGCAAACCTTCATCACCACAAGCAATGAGACAGTGCTGTGGTCATACTAGGTGTGTGTGTGTGCTGGGTCTCCAATTTATACTTCATTCAAACATGATCAAAATTTGGGGCTTTGGGTATAACTCACGGATGTCACAGTTGGTCCCCTCAAAGCAGAACGGACATACGCATGCATACTCTCGGCAGGCGTCTCCCGTGGTGGATCGCTGACAGAAACCATTGATGCATGGATTGTTGGCACAGGGGTCCAAGGCTGTCAGATTAATCAAGCAAAGGATCGTTTAGCAAACACCCAGGCCAAAACAACACTTCATCCTATAAGCCATGTAAACCATAAATGTACCACAAATGGTGTGTCTCTTACTCCATATTTTTTAATTTACACAATTTAAGATTTGTTTGGACCTGTAGAATGATTTTGGATGATATTGCCACTTTGAGATGTCATGAATGAAATGGTTTGCTTACAAAGTACCAGTAACTCAATCAAATTTTGCATCCATACTGCTACCACAAACTGTAAATACTCCCAAAGTAAACCGCCTTGCTAATAGCAACACTGGCTGCGACTTTCAAGCACATAGGACGCACCTGACAGGTTCTCTTCTCATTTTGCCTCCAAAATAAAAGGGCTCCTTTTCCAAGAATTACTTCTGCTCAGCAGAAAGCATGTTTTACAAAGAATATGAAGATTTTTAGAAGGATAAAGTTGTGAAAAGGAAATAAAAGGTGTTCCCTAACACGTCTTTCTGCCTTCATGTTTTTACTGGAAAAAAAAAGCTCAAAAGAATTCTTCAACTGAAACAAGTTTGAGACGACAAGTGTACAATCACTCGACCAATTCTCCTTCGGACCGATACATCTCAAAAGGACTCTACAAGGCTTTCTTGTAAACCCTCATTCGCTGAAGTCTTCAATGTCTATTAATTCTAAATCTGTTATTTAACTGACCTGTACAAAGCTTTCTTCATATCCCACCAGGTCCATGCTAATAGGCAAACTTTCAAAGTGCAACAGAAGGATCCCTGCCAAGGCTTTGTGTTCAGAAAGAAGTAAATAAATTGCCATCGCCACTGCCTACCTGTTTGGCACTGCTCTCCCTCAAAACAGCCTTGGCAGGCACAGGTAAAGTCCAGACACGAGGACTGGTTGACGCGACACGACCCGCCGTTCTCACATGGGAAACTGCTGCAGGCATCTTGGTCTTCAAACACAGACACAAAAAGAAACGATGCAAGGTTTTGAACTGCTATTCAATTCCTCCACAAAGGAGATGGTATTGATTCAATGCTCAAAATCCATGCTTGTAATAATAACTGCCGTCTTTCGAGCCATAAAGATTGTCAGAATTAGCTGTTTGTACAGACAAGAATGAACATTTCGGCAGGTGAAGTTTCCATTTCTTTTCAATCTGATTGGGAATGACGTCCTCTTATTTCTTCAAGGACAATACTGGATTTGTTTAGACTCTGAAGGCCTTGGTAGAATGAGGGGGAATTGGAATATGCCATTTCACGACTCGATGCATCTGTGAGTTTAAAAAGAATCTTTGAACTGTCTTATTGTAGACAACCCTAAAAAACTAAAACCAAGGGTCTTTTTGTTGCACACAGATCTGGATCTCAATCAGTGATCCCATAGCTAGTTTGCACTATCCATTAGGAAGGGTTACGGTGTCAGTGAACCAAAGTTAGAACACTAACAATGACTCGGATCTGGGTGAAGTAAACAGGCCCAATATTCTACCAGTTAAATCCTCCAAAGTGAAATTTGTAATAATTGTTATGACTTTCCAGTAGAAAGGTTTGAACGGCAATACTGCCTATGTAAATAGAATTTTATTGTTTTGTTGTAAAGGGCTCACAGAGCAAAAGTCAAGTGCGGGGGAGCATGGTTGAGTGGGTAAACCCCGCTGAGCTCACCACAAACAGGCTGCAAAGGGATTAATGGGAGCATGTGTAATCCACTGCCGATAACATACATTTCATTGAGTTTCCCCGTGGGAGGCCTACTGGAAACCACGCAGACAAACAGGATTTGAAACATCACAGGCTGAGACGGTTTCATGTCAGTGACAAAATACAATTCTTCATTTCAAAACAGACCTGTAATGCTCTTTCCACAAACAACAATGCTGTGGGTTTTATGGAAAATGCAGAGAGAGGACTCACAGATGGTACAGGTAGGGCCGGTGTAACAGTTGACACACGTACAGGACGTCTGGGAGCATGTATCGTCCATCACACAGAGGCCACCATTCTGGCAAACATTGTTGGTCAGACAAAGATCCACAGCTGAAATATCAACAAAAAATGATAACTACACGTATATTGGTAGAATCTAGGAATTGTGCAACAACTTGCAGTAACTGATGTAGACACCAACAGAACAAAGTGAAGAAAAGTTCTTATGAAATAAATGCAAAATCCAACAGTTTGGAAGAACAACCCGATTTTCATGGTCACTTTTATTTTTCATCATGGCAGATTCGGGTTTAACTTTCACTCTTAAAGCCAAAAACATGTACATGTACACTTTCTGTAATATTTATTTGATAAACTCGCATTGCAATAATGTGATGCCAAACTTTAAAGGGTACTTTTACAGAAGTCTTGCAGTCAGGTTGACACCAATTTCATGAGAATCAGACAAAGCGTTCTTGTGAAATGCCGACTATTCTAAACGGTTTAGGCTATAATGTTAATTTTCACTAACATGTGCTCAAAACCCACAGGCTAGCAATAGCATGCAAGAGAGAGTAAACTATAAAATGACCTTAAAAGCCAATGCCTCCCAACCGAGTTGAAACTTCACATAAACCCCCTTACGAGCTGTTGTTACATGCTGATCTCATTTCAAAATAATTGGCTGTGGGAAAGCCGTGTTCCTGGCTGAAGATGGTTAAAAAAACCCAGGTTTTTAGAATTAAAACAGTTGATTGAAACTTGTCCAAAGCTTCCTTCAGTGACTTGTACGAATTTATGTATAGTTTTAAACTGTTAAGTCTTGAAAAGCACTACACAGTTAGAGTCCAGTCTGTCCAGAAAAATATGAAATCAAAGTCAATGGAAGGGACTAATACGTACGATCGGCACAGAAAGTACCCTGGAAGCACGAAGGACATTGGCAGATGAGGTCTCCCACACCACAGCCCGTACCCTGGGGGATACAGGTTCCTCCGTTCTGACATGGGTTGCTAGGATTCATGCACTGGTTTTTGCCTGAAAGACGGAGGGAAAAAATATAATTTAATCCTCAATTTTCAATGCTATAAATTAATCTTACACCTTCAAAGTTATTGGGTTTTAGTGGATTTTTTAGGATTAAGAGAGGCAGAGCGAGGCCTCTTTTACTAATTCCAGAAAGTCTTTATCCTTCAAGTTACATTGCAAGGTGCTGGGTTTGTTCATGATGTTGAAAACTTAACAAAATTCCAAACAACTTTCAATTTGCTACTGTGCCTTTCATCAAATAAACCAAGTTAGACTTCATACAATAACTTTCTTATTCTTCAGTTGAATATCCAGCCTATATGTACATGTCAACCCCGGGGGCAGAGGATCAAATGAGCAGGTCTTTGTAGATATTCAGATTACTGTCTGGATGACTGACAAAACTGTCTGAAAAAATACTGGAGCATACTACGTGTGTGCCGGACTATTGGGCGATTTAATTTAACAATAGGTACCATGGAACCCTGGATCAATTTTGGTATGACGCTGGGCATGTACATGTTCGCACACCAGGAAGTTTACTGGATTGCTTTATGAGCCTCACTAGAAGTGGCTTTGACTATTTTTTTTAAAGACAGCACAGTGAGACCCCAGCGCAATGATCTTCAGAAGGCTGACTCAACAGCCGTTACAACCCAGGTTAAGCTTGATCAAATAACCCACATCAAACACACATGCCACAAATCGTACATGCAGCGGTGATGTTTGTAAGAGTCCAAGTTTAATTGAACTTTCACAACAAATAAAACCTGCTGCAAAGTGAAGTGACAGCGGGCATGGTGTTTGTGTCTAATGTAGGATTAACACATCAGTGTAGAGCTCCAAATTTTATAGAAAGGACAAAAAACGTACTGGTGTGTGCACTTGAAAAAATGTAAAGGTTTTGGGGGCAATCCTTACTTGTAGGACACCTATGTTTGTGTTTCACTCACCTTTTCCAACTTCTCATAAGGTGTGCATCAATGCAACAGGACATTCGATACCTCAGAAGTGTTTTTTTTTTCAAACAACTGAAAGATTGGAGGCTCTTGTTGGGGAAAACATTGCTAGAAGTTTGAAAATCTGTTCACGATCTTGCCAAGTTGGCAGTTGAAGATAGCAGGAAGATCATAAAAGTAAGGACTGTCCTAAATGGGGGGCCAACACCATTGTCATGATTGAAAACAGCTCAACCTCCCCCCCCCAAAAAAAATACACTTTACTTTTTCTTCTTAAGAATGTGAACATCATTTTTGTTTACTGCAACAAGTTTCTGAGGTTCAAATAAGGTAACACCAGCATGACTAACATCAATCCAAATCAATGACTATCATCAATGCCCATTTGCCTTCTAAGGAAGGTCACTCCACACACAAAACTCAGTTCCTTCTTTATAGCTCTGCATAAAGAATATAAACGATAAGGACAGTGGCTAAGCCTTTTGTGCAAAGCCAGACAATGGGTTTCAAAACTGGCTAAGGTCAAAGGTCATGGGCAGTGCAATTTGCAAACCTCCATAGGGCTAAGTATGCGTGCCAGGTGCAAACAACAAAAAGAAATAAAAATGGCAAGACTGAAGAGACTCGTAAAGTAATCCAAGCTTAATACAAGTACATGTACCCTTGATATTTAGAGCTGTGTAAAGAGCGCCGAGTCTATGAGTTTGTTTTCTGTATTCAATCAGAGACAATGAACAGTAGACAACAATCACCGACAAATCCTATGGGAACCCTTCCCAAAAAAGTTGAAATCTGAACAAAGCAATTAATAGCGGGCAAATACTTGAATGTATCTGTGATGGCACTGAAGCTTTTTTTTTGCTTATAAATATAACAGATGACAAAAGGAAAAATATTCATTTCTGACATGTCAAACCTTAACTCAGAAAAAAAAGTGTGTCGATTTTGAGCTCGAATATCTCAACGTTAGAATCTGTTCTTTGCAAGACTTCATATTCTTGTCATTCATGGTGCATACAGGTGGGGCTTAAATTTGTTTATCACCTTCATCATTCTCATCAATCATTCTGGTGTGTCAGTAGGCTGTCCAGGAAGGTCAACCCAGTCCCAATGTAGAAATCGTCCCAAGCTTTTTAATGGAACAAACGTCTCTTATTTTGCTAAGAATTTAACTTACGTTCCTGGCATATGTCTCCTTGGAAACACTCGGTACACTGACAGAACGTTGATCTGCAGTCGACGCTCTGGAAACATACCCCTGAGTTCAGGCAGGGGTCCGAGCTGGCACAAATGTTGAAGGCTGCCATAGACCAAAGAAATAAAAGTATTGGTTTCCATTTACATGTATATCAAATGCCTAAAACATTCACCAAGGTGAAGAATGTAAGAAGGAAAAGCTGAGCGTCATCAATGCAACGTTTGCAGAGATAGATCCAGCACTAATTAATAAAGGGGAAGGAACATCTTAATTGGAGATGGAACCCAACCATCTGAGTGGAGCATAATTAGTTCCTCTGTATGAAAATGTTGTCTTTAAGTAACCGAACATGCAATTGACAGAAAAATAAAGTCAGGAAAAAACAAGTGGCATGAAAAGTAAATTACATGTACATGTACCTCTCCCGCCCGATCATCTACTGGTTTTAGATTAATGGAATTTCACATTTTATTTTCAGCAGTCGTTTTCTCTTATAATATTACTTTCCTCTATTTTTACAGAAATTTTCAAAGATATATATTACAAAAGGACTTCTTTGAGAAAGATTTTACAAGATTATCTCAAGTGACTTCAGGTGAGTGCAAAGTTGAAGCAAGTCTGATGCCAAGGAAATTTTGCAGCAAAATATACTCCAGTTGGGATGTGTTAAAAATTTGGCAAATTTCAGGCATGAACATTTCATCTAATGTTAAAAAATTACAATGTACATGAATATTCACTTTTATGCCAAGCGCAAATCGGCCTTGATACTTACGAAGCTGGCATCTTGTTCCTCGGAAGCAGGACGGACATTGGCAGGTGTAGCTATTAAATGAGAAATTTGGTATGCAGGCCCCACCATTCATACAGGGCATCCAGCCACAAGGATCAACGGCTAAATGATCGGGAAAGAACCAATATACATGAACATCAAACTCAACAACGGAAATTACCTTACTTGCAATTTGATCATGAATGAAAGTGATAAAATAGAATTAAGTATCACTGCACAGCTCAAGGAAAGAGCATATCATCAGGCAGAATTTATATTGGAAAGTGTACTTTTGAACAGCAAATGAGTATTCGCCTAAAGAGCAATTGATTGATTGCTTAACAAAGGGTCAACTTGCAACTTGGTGCATGTCTCCGAGGTGCGAAGAGAAATGCCTCTTTTTTCTGGTTCAGCTGAATTATATTTACACCTTAAGCAGATCAGCTGCTTTGTGTTTGCTCCCTTGGCAGATTTGATACCTAACACTGCCTAACCAGGAGGGGAATACATGCAGGCTATATTCAGTGATACATGATGTAGGACTGAGGCTAAACGATGTAGGCCTATAATGGCCTGAAAAAATGCCTGAGCATTTTTGTTTTAAAACAATCATGACAATGACAACAGTCAACACATGATCATTGGCCTACATGCAGGCCTACGTTCAAAGTGAAACTTATTTCCCACAGTGTGGGGTCCGACATCCGTCCGTCCCGCTCCACCCACTGACTGAACGTGCATGACGTGGGGGCGGGGCGCGCGGACGTCAGACCCCATTTTTCTAGTTCTGGGGCTGTGGAGGTACCAGGTAGGTCCATGTGCATGAAGTGCCTCAAATGCACAACTGTTCCAATGATTTTTCTTATCTACAAAACATGTTACTGGCAAAAATGTCCGTGGAAAAGTGAAAAGTTTATACCATTATTAGCCAACCGAAATTCAGCAAAAACAGCAAACGACAGTCAAATACACCGCCGCGCTAGCGCTGAATGCCGTAATAAGCTGCGCCCTCAAGAGACCTCAATGTATTACCAGGACAGACTGGTACATGCATGCCCCTTCAAGCGGCGTCTGCCTTGGAATCAACATGCTGCCTTGGAATTATTGCGGAACTGAGTCAGTGCTCAATAAAATGTTAGAAAATGCCACTGGAACATCGAACGACATACAACAGATCCAAAATTGAAATTTTACCATTTGAACTGAATAATGCAGCCTGCCCAATGAACATGCAACGGAGACGAAACGCAGCGACCAAGCTGAGTATTGGGAAACGGCGCATCAACGTAGCCAGCGCGGCGGATTAACGCAGTATTTATTTTTATATTGCAATGTATATCTGTTGAGTTATACAGGCCAATGATCAGATGGTGTTTACAAAAATCAAGAACAAATGAATAAATACGACTTAAAGAAGCTGGAGAAAGGTGGGGGCATATTAGGCCTGCACATCTCACCCACAGTATCTCCCCCGGCAAAGCTCGGCCTGGCATGCACGGCCCCATCCCCAGAAAAATCAAGAGAAAAAATAAAAGAATTAAAAATAGGCCGCGAAAAGAAACTAAAAAACGGCTGAAAAAGAAAATCACTATTAAAAATGATGATAATTCCTCGATATTGACCCACGACTGCTGTCATTATTATTGGAACCCATGCTGCACTCTAACTCCGGGTCAGATTGACCCAGAATTGGGTCCCATTCGGCTTTATTTTTCTGGGTCAGATTATGACAGGGTCAAATACGACCCGAAAGGGGACCTAATAGAAATAAGTGCTTCCCAGCTAGGTTTGGGGAAGGGTGAACATTGCAACTCACCCGCCGTCCACGAAACACTCCAACCCCGGAACTCCTGATTCTTGTCAGTGGAGAAGAAAATCCAAATGGTATCTGAGTCCAGGGTCACAGGTAACGGAGCGACTGTGCCGTCGAAGCGCCTGGGGAACATGCCGGTCGACACGTTGGTGGTCACCAGATCGTCCGGGAAGGCCAATCCGGTCCCGATGTAGAGATCGTCCTTCAAATTCTCTTCCACCTCGAAGACGCTGGCGAAGGTCAGGGTGATGGAGTTGGCCGAAGGGATGTAGAGCTGATAGAAGGAGTTGCGCAGCCTCTCATATGCGTTGGGGTAGTTGGGGGATTGAAAGGTACTGAGATTGCAGGTATTGGGCCAATCAAAACATCGGTTGACTTCGTGCAAAAGAAAGACATCTGTTTGAGGGAATGAACACCAAATGGTTGATATAAGTGAAACCAACTACATGTAATTTTACGAAATATAATGCCACTTTTGCAATACATGTAGTTCAATTAAGTAGAGGGGCGAAAAATAATGGAAGCTAAACTTCCAGACTGAACAGCCTTTCCAGAGACTGCATGTGGTGTATGATAATCGGTAGGACTGGAAGCAGGTAGTCTATATATGTTACTCAAAACAGTGATGCCCAGGTACCTGCAAGAAGAAACGAAGTTACCCTCGAATTCTACCCTACCTTTGGACTAAACGTTTTGCGTCCCGTGCGCATAAATTCCTGCACAATAAGTTTTGAAAACTTGGTTGCAGGCACTCGGCCCATAATTTAGGACAGGTTAAGCCTGGGTAAGATTCCAACCATGATCAAAATAGAACAAAACTAATGAACACTGAGTAAACCAGACTTGCCGCGACAGCACACTGTACTTACTTGACGTTATGCTGCAGTTAAACCCCATGTAGGAGTCGACACACTCGCAGGCAAAATCCGGGGTCCTGCCCGGTCGCTCGTAACACGTGCCCCTTCCGTTGCAAGGGTTACTCTGACATGCTGTAAGAAGAAAAAAAACAAAAGAAACTCGAAAATTCCGGCTCAGGAATCTTAAACCTATCGACCAAAATTGTGGATTTGATGGACATCATAAGACCAGCTATTGGCTAACGCGGTGGTTCTACGCGTATGGAGCAAATTTTTTTCTCAAGTTCCACAATCCATTTTACTCCCCATTGAATTGAAGCGTGTTCCAGCATTTTCTAATTTCTTGTCTCCATTACGGCAAATCAAAGTTACTTTTTTCAGGTGTATGACACTTAGATCTTAAGGAATTTGAATTTTTGTTCTTTGGAAAATTTGTTCAAGGCCAACCTTATTTCCAAAACTCTGTAAGGAAAGTGTTTAAACCTGTTTGTAATGACATGAAGACTCTACCACCAAGCTTGCCGGAGATCAGTGGATAAAATGTGACATTTAAATGCGATTCTCTTTGAAGAGTTACAGATGAAAGCCACACTTCCCGGTTCTTATAGCTGCTATGGTACACACACATGTACAGGGAATATTTACTGACCGTTTAGAAAGTGTACAGGGGTGTCTTAATTAACGTTTCCGAGAATTCAGTTTTGGGTAGAACCTAAATTGCTACAAGATGTTAAAAAATTGACATCATAATTTTTCTCTGATGTGTCTTGACATATGTGCTTATTTAGAAGCATCTTGTTATTGCTGGACGCATTACATGCATTATATAAAACCCATATGAGTGACAAATCTCCCAATATGAATTCCTCACGCATCTACTCTGATGACCTTCGAATTCAGCCCCGAACCGTGCCTGACTGTGCCTTTCCTCTGCTGGGCCGGTAAAAAAACAAGATTGAATTAAAATGCCTTGTGGAATGCATGACGTTTAATTTTGATAAAAGAATTCGCGTGTAGAAAGAAATATGACCTCACCAACGTGCCCCGAATACCAATTTCACTGCAGCACACAATGGACATGTAAATTACGAAGTTGACGTAGTGCACGTCGCTTTACAGCCCGCTCAATTGTGCGAAAGCGAGTATTTCAACAAAACCATCCACGTGAAATGAAAATTTAACTGCGGGTGAAAAACATAACTTTATTTCAAAAAGCCCAGCTAAAGCTTAGATATTCCTGACATTTCGTCCATGAAATTTCTGTGGTAACCCAAGGATTAATAACATCCACCACTTTTTTCACGAAATGAAAACCTTGCTAACTCTGAAAATATCCAAACGCAGAGCTCTGGCATCCTCAAATACAAAATGAAATACTACTTTTCTGAAGAAACAATTAACTTTCCAGCTTAGCTTATCATCAATGAAACTTTATAAACGAAAGTATACCACTTAATAGGTACATGAACTGAAAGTCTTTAAAAGCTTGGAATATATAGTTATCGTCCCGCCCAAAAAAATGTAGGAATGAAGAGCGTATCAAAATAAAATTTAAGATAAGCCTTTATATGGACAATTCAGTTTTGCTCCAAGCTACCATATACTATATTTCCCACGATGTAAAGCTTTTAATTAAAATCAAATGTGTTTCGGGATTGTCATTCGAGAATAGCTCAATAATTACATGTACAGTATATCAGGCATAAGGATACACGATGCTTTGGAACAAAGTACGGTGATGTGTTAACTTATTTTTCATCTTTGAACCTTGTTGAAATTTTGTTATTTATCTGAAACACAGCTTTTGGGAGACAGAATAACAATAAAAAAGCATGTGTCGCCAATTATGCTTCGCTTATTATTTTTTGTGTTCAAAAAGGTAAATCATGTAAGCATACATGTAAATCAGTTTCCGTGATTCTCTTTGGTCGAATTTTCACTTACAAGACCACCTGGTCTCCTAGGCTAATGTAAAACAAAATACAATGTGTAAAATTCTAATGCTTGTCTGAAATTATGACTGCCATTTTGTAGTCAAGGCTACGTTGAGAAATGGCAGGTATCGAACCTAACTTGCCCAGCTGGTGGTACATGTATCACCACAGACATGGCCTACTGGCGCGTCCGGAGGAAATGAAGCAGCTGCATTTCGTTGTATGGAAAGACCCGTGTCACTAAACATGCATGAGTACTGTTAGGTTCTCTCATTAAATAAACGATTAAGGGACGGGTACCTATAGCAACAAGGGAAGCGACTGACGAAGGACATTAATTATCCATCAAGGTGTATACAGAATGCAAGGTGAGGACCGGCCATTTTGTGGTACACTATACACTCACAACAGTAGCCTTATCCTTAAAATTTTCCTTTTTTGTCTGATATCAAATACGGGGGGGAGGGTATACTTGAGACATGTCAATTTGGGTTATGAAAATATTTACATGCACAAGGAAGAATCCGTATCTTCTATCCCTATGATTCGACAAACGCTAGGGCAATGATACTCAGCCTTCATCTAAAAACAAAATTATGTCACTGGGTGGAACGCAATATTTTCAACCATGACATCAGTATGCTATTCCAATTTGTGCAAAATTTCAATGGCTTATTCTAAATCCAAAGGACACTATGGCGATGGGAGAGGAACACAGACTTTCATGTTTGATTTCTACAGGTGGATTCTTCAGAAGTGGTTAATACGGTATTCTTTCAAGTTGACTGGAAATGAGGGGAAAATGCCCCACCACTTTCCCCCAATGTCCTGCATGTGTATGAGTCATTTTACATGTTTTTTTTTATCGCACAATCATCAGACCGTGCATAGTACGACATGAGTTTCCCTGAAAGATGCCTTGTAAATGTTTACTTAAAACAAAAATCCAAAAATTCAGGATGAAGTCATCAAACACAAACGTTTCCAATTTATTTTGAACTTTGAAACTCAAGTTATAATTCACCAGGATAACCTCACCGAAGTGAGTTCAGGTAAGTTAAGACTACAGCTGCGTTCTGCGTTTCCTATTATACATGTGGCGATATAAAATTAATGATGCCGCGCATGATCAGTTAAAATATTGATTATATAACAATATTATTATGGTATTAATAACAGAACAAGTGTTTCGAGCTTAGAAGGGTAGGTTATAATGACAAATGAGCTAAATGTCCCTACATGTTGAAGAAAGTCGATGAAAACACTTTACGAAATCAAGTCATGGGACTACCTTACTAAGATGGTGCCCATTATATTTAGTAACATAAAAGTTAACGATGTGGCTTTCTGTTAAACGATGGTACCTTTTCAACACACGTACCACTATGGTTATATAACAATCAAATTATCAACACAGGTTTTGCCCTTACCCGATGTGTATTCATAAGCACAATGTATACTCAGTGCTTGTCCGAGAGCTTGCAAACAAATTTACAAGATACGTAGGGTAAGGGCAAAACAGCATATCCCAGACTCAAAATACATCCTAAAATCAAATTTTGGTGTTATTAGAAGAGTAGCTCTTGTTTGGGGATCAAGATATACGTTCTCCACAGAGTAAATTATCTAAAGGACCTGAGTGTTTTTGAAGTTAAATCAAGTCATGCATTTTCAAGTGGACACTGTGGGGGGGGATCAACATACGGTGTACATTTATGTTCACATCAATACATTACTTTTCAAATACATTATTGCAAAATCAAAACTGTAATAAATTAACAACTGTATGAGATCATCAAAAATATGTTTTACTAAATATCAATGAAACCTAAAGTGCTACCTTTTCTGGCGTTTACATTTTACATAATCCAAGCGTCGGGCCGACTCAGTCACGCTAGTCATGGTTAAGAATGTTAACATTTCTCTTTAGAATATACCCGATGTAGTCGGCAGAACATCAATCAAACTTATGGATAATCTACATGTAAGATAACCAACCTGATCAAAATGTTGGAACCTACCCAGCAATATCATGATGATGCAAAAACTTACAGCAATATCTCTACATATAGGCCTCCCTTCTGGAAGGACAATTAGGGCTATGTAGTAAGATGTATTTATTGCACATGTATCTGTTGGGTATAAGAGTTCCATGCGGATATTAATACTAATTCCTTTGCAGTGGTATATTAGCCATCTACATGTATGTCCATTTAGCAGGGAAAACGTTAAACACTACGAATATTTCAAAATAGTCTTATAAGATTTGCGTATGTGAGGGTATTAGGCCTAAGTGATACCCATATTGGGAACTATTATTTTACTACAGGTTGGAAGATTGATTATTGGGCTAACAGGAGGGGACACCAAAAATTTGTCAATTCACAGAACAAGAAGCAAGATGGAAATTCGAATTATTGACGCGTTTGTTAATTGAATACTTCGACTCTTACCATTCTGTGCTTGAGCAGTCCCTACGAGCGCCAGCGCCATTGTAGAAACTACCAGATACATCATTCCACACCTATAATATTCCATGATAACTTGTACCAATCATACAGCTGTAAGGATCTGGATTCAACAAGTACGTGTGATATTCCCGGCCGTCAGTAATGCCTATCCGCCAGCGGAAACGGCAGGAACAGAGATCGCTGGCGAACTACCAGGTATTTGCGGTTGGTCGTGAAATATCCCAAGATCGATCACAGTTCCCGACCGATGTACTGATATTTTTTACGGTTAAACTGCACTGGAGATTTGTTGCTTCACCATGAAATGTCTCCAGCGTCAGAAATCCCTGTGGTAGTAGAAATATTTCGTAACTGAATTATACGTACATACGCCAAGTATTGCTATAGGCCCAACGTGATCCATCATCACAATACAAACTTCTCAGGCGTGGAGAATCCGTTTCTCACACAATTGACATGTAAATCACATTGCTGTTACCCCGCTGTCGAACATCGGCCAGTGGGCCTGTGTGTATAGTGGGAAATATTCTGTCAACAAAAGGGAGACTTGGGGTTCAGGAGAAAACATGACGCATGGTGAATTGACCACGGGGTGGAGTCGTACAAAGCTGAAGTGGGAGTTTGGAGTGCATGGGGAGACGAGAAAAAAAGACCAACTTCTTTGGAATATAGTCTGGGTTTTACATGACAGGAGGGTCGCATTGCTTTGGCTCGTAACTTGTTTTCAGCATTTACAATACCATATGAAAAGATTCCTGTAATTTAATTGGGGCATAAACTTTTGTTTCTATAGTATAACATCGACTATCAGAAGAAAATCGGGTGTAAGAAAAAAAACCCTGAATGGCAAGTGACAATGTTCTTATAGATACCCCCTTGTTATTCTCTTTCATCAGTTTGTTGAATGTTCCCTTCAAAATGTCATTCTCTTCACTTTTGTTAAGTCCGTCAATTGTTTTGTCATATTTCAAGCGTTGTAATTGTGTTTAGGAACTGAAGAACACAAAAAATACGGAATAGATTAGAAGGCTATCATGCATAAGTTCCGCAAAATTGTCTGATCTACATTCACAATCTCTGTGAGCTTGTCCGATATTGGGCTAATTACCCTGCCCATGGTTGCACCTCGTCACCGGGCCGCACCTGACTGATGTGTCCCAAGCAACTGGCTGCGGCCTAGGTAACAAGCTATCTGATGAAACCACTGCCTGCCGCTTGTCATTTGCTCTCATTGGCGGCTGTGCTTTTCTAGACAAGGTGCCTCGGAGATCGTATGAAGCAAACTATGGGACAGAGAGAACCCCCCTGCCTTTGTGTTGGTGATTGTAATACTGGTATCTCAGGAATTCTAATAATTCTCAGGAATAGTATAGATACCCCCTTGTTATTCTCTTTCATCAGTTTGTTGGCTGGGGGTATAGAGATTGGACTTGTTGGGGGGAACCCATCTGTCCCATTTCGTTCCTGGTACACGTATATCAGAGATTGTCCTCAGAGTGGGCGCCCTCTATAGGATAGGATCGAACGAAAGAAGTAAGACTTTGTGACCGAGTTTGTGCGCCCACAGCATCCACTATCGGTTTCCTTGAGGTAATCAGCACTTTTAAACGCAGTAGAGAAAACACTGTGTCGCTAAACTGTCTCCAACATTAGTCCTCACCCTGTAAGCTCAGGCTGTACGGTTGTAAGATTTGGAAATTATAGTCACGGCGAAGTACTGATTAGCCCTAGCCCTATGTATTGCTTGGTTCGACATTTAACTCATAGTGTATTGGAAAGTATTCCTTCTAGGTCGTAGGTGACATGATTTTTAATGCAGTTCTAATGCTTCCTGTGTCTCATTGAACTTGACGTCCATTTGCCGCGCAGTTTCCGAGTTCTTCATCTTGAACTAAAGTGTGATGCTATCCACAGAAACTTTATCGTGTATTACCGAAGTTCTGCACCAAACTTGCAATTTGGAGGTTTGTTGTTTCAGTTCATAACAGTTTGTTATTTCAGTTCACAGCAATATCAAAAGGCACGTGAATAAAGGTTACCCACAAATATTTTCAACGTGCACATTTTGGAGTAACAATTTGAACTGAACCCCCCCCCAAGGTGCAAATAATGCATTCCTGTAATTAAAAGACAGCATATCAGGGAAAACGGACGATTTTCAATAAACGTTTTCAAGGAGAGTAATTGAAAAATACCTTCAGTTACATTTTAGAGTTGGAAAGTGCATAAAGCATGTTTCCTGGTAAACTTCTTACTGTGGACCATTTTGAATCATAGTTTTAATAGTGTCTCTGGAGAAACCAAGGAACGTATTCCAGACAGCCACAACTTATGCGTTACCCTCTACTAAGGGAGGTGACAAGTAACAGTGTTTTGATCCTTTGCACGCGATTTCTTCGAGAGCTACACGTAGGCCTACAGGAGTCAATAGAAGTTAAAGTATTTAGTCCAAGGCCGTAGCATTGCTCCATGCTTCGCTTTGGGTCACACAACTCAGAAGTCCATCTGTGCGTAATGTCCTTCGCTTACACAGGCAATGATGAATTCAGGCTCGCGGAGGGCCGGGGTCACCCAACACCGTCACCCGTCTCACCGTGAGAGACACGTGGATTTTGAAGGGAAGAGAATTTCGAGATAATCGGAAGATATAAGCTTCTCCTAACTGGAAAACGTTCGCGTGATTCTGTATAGGCTTTACTTGAACCCAGTAAAGGATTAACACAGGGGTTACTACCCCCAAATTAATTAAGATACACATCCTTTTGGGGACATGAATATTAGACCTCATTTTCCCCGTTATTGTTTGAAATTGAAACTATCTTCGTTTGGCCGCCATTGCAGTGTCTAAAATAAAGTAAAGGGAAGGCAAATAAGTCTATGTTGGCCACCAAAAGGGCCCATATACCAAGTGTAATAAACGCTCCCCCAACTGTCACCAAGGGTTCTTCCTAGGGATCAAAATATTCCATCACACAGACACAAAGCTAGCAACAAGAAAACAAGAGACTCCAGTGTTTTTAAAAGGCATGAAGCGGAACATATAAACACATATCAAAGATTACAACCCATCACTGTTAGAGGGCGCTATTTCCAGACAAGGCGTCACTGACGGCCAGTGGATGGGTGGGGACATATGCCCCTGGACACTTTGGTTCAAAGACCAAAGAGAAAAGGAGGATCCACACCTTTTGGTCCACCTACCGAAAATAAAGTTTTGAATCATCCTTGTCTCTGGCTTACGATTGCTCTTCCCCTGACTTTAATGTTAGCTCAGGCAACAGTCAACATTTCTAAGTAAAAAAAAATTAAGCTCCACAAATTGAAAAGAAAAAATCCAACGCCGTTCAGCATAAATTTATTTCGCCATTTTTTCTATAGACAGATAATTCCTATTAATTGCTTCCTGTGTATGTAGCTGGTTTTATTTACGGCATAAAATATAAGTGTACGAAGCCCTAAATACACACCAAAATTATTTTAGGAGAATTACTCAGTGCTCACATACTAAAATTAAAAATAATCAGTATAGGCCAATGATAGAGTCTTGAAATTAAAGTACATACATGTATGAAACACATTGGTAGCTATAAATCACGTTCGATAATCTTCAAATTCTTTGTTGAAAATGCAGCAATTAATCAGACCCACATGTGCACCAATACACATTTTGAATCAAGTAGCTTTCCGTCGGGAGGTGTGCTTCACAGAGTCTTTCTCTACTCACATACATTTGCTACGCTATAATTTCAGCTGAAAAATATTCTTCTGATTTTACATCAAACACTTAAAGCGAAATACATTAATAAACATAACTGTAATACTTCGTATATGAACAAAATAAAGTCCTTTTTCATTTCTACGCTTTAACTTAAAAAATACCACGGAGTGAACATGGCCCAGATATAATTAACAATTCGTGGTGTTTCGCTTTCGTATGTACATCATCGATGTGAAACTTGTACTTCTTATGTGTCATCAAGGTTTCTTTTAGCTGTTTCGGCTAGCGGCTGGAACAGTAAGGCTTTCTTCTTTTTCTCTTTTCATTTTTCAGATTTTCTCCATAGGGTTTCTTCACATCTCATTGTCAACCTTGGCAGTTTTATACATCTGATTAATTTCAGACATGGCAGACCTTTAGACAAACACCTAAAGATGGTCTTGGAAGGAATCCGTTATGATGACGTCATCACATGCTTTATTATTATTGTTGAATATTCAATTTTTCCCTAAGTATTTTGTACGTTTTGAAACAGCCCGACATTGTCACTATTCTTGTCCTAACTGGATTGCTGTTAGGTCCACGCTTTTAATCCACCACCTTGAGAGGGTCCAGGAACAAAATCGTCACAATGACGTCTGACATGATTAATTATTGAGTTTTTAAAATTTAACAATTCCCCGTAAATTTTGTACACGTTTTTCAACAGCAAGACTTTGGCACGGTTCTTGACGTGACTGAATTGATGTTAGGTCCACACTCTTAGCGAACCAGCCAGGGAGGGTCCAAAAGCAAATCATCATAATGACGTCATCATGTGTCACGTGACATTGCATTTAAGGGGTAGCCTCTAAAGCCCTGTATTTCCTTAAGTTAAAGTCTGATTGGATTGAAACTTTGTAGATAGATATCAAGTGAAGTGTTATCGACGAAAACTAGCTGAAATCATGAGTTGATGACGTCACCAGTTGACAAGTCACGTGGCATTATGGGGTACCATTCAAAACCCCGAATCTTGTGAAACGCATGTCGGATTGGGTTGAAACGTTGCAAATATATGTATCTAGAAAGGGGTGTATTGTTCCAGTTGACAAAATATTAGATCATAAGATGATGATCTCATCAGGTGATAAGTCATGTGACATTTAAGAGGCACCCTCCAATGCCCACCTCTTCTGAAGTACACGTCCGATTGGGTTAAACCCTTGCAGATGTCTAGAAAAGGAACGTTTTGTAGACAAAAACTGATTTTATATGATGATGACGTTATCAGGTGACAAGTGTCGTGATATTAAAGGGCACCCTTCAAAGGTCCTCTTTTTCTGAAATACATGTCTGATTAGGTTCAAACCTTGCAGATATCTAGAAAAGGAAGTGTTGTAGACGGAAATTATTGACCTGATGTGATCATGACCACATCAAGTGACAAGTCACGTGACACTGAAGGTGCGCTCTTCGTTGCACTTTATCTTCTTAAGAACATCTCGGATAGGATTAAAATCTTGGAGATATCTAGCAAGGGAAGTATCTTCGGCGAAAATTGACCTGATGTCATGATGACGTCTCCAGGTGATAGGTCAGGTGACATTAAAGGTAAACATATCAAGACACTGTATCTCCTGGATTGTGTCCAAGCTTCACTGATATCTTGAAAGGAAGTGATAAAGACAAATCTTGACCTGATGTG